ATTGTGACTTAGGGTTATTTCCTTATCATCTTGAATATACTTGCAATCTTCTTAATGATATTTCACCAGGCCTGTTGAAGGAGTTAGATTCACGATTTGGTAAATACCACGTTTTACTGGATTAAAAATTTTTAAAAATGGACTTGAAAATATATCAAGGTTCACAGCTGCTGAATATAGGGATATGATGAAGATCATGCCTTTTATAATAGATAATATATTGGAAAATAACTGTATCTTAAACAAGAAGTTAATAGATGTTTATGTAAAATGGGTTAGAATGTATCAGTTTAGCTATTTAAAGATGATGATTTATTACAATTTGAAAAAATGATTATAGATTGGTCAAATGACTTTGTTAATTTATTTAAAGATTACTCAAAAACTAGTTTATGTATCCCAAAGCTACATCATTGGAGATATCATACAATACCTTCAATTAAACTTTTTGGTGCCCTTAATGGATTTTCAGCTGAAACCTTTGAATCCTTGCATAAAGAATATATCAAGCAACCATATCATTCAACAAATAAAAATTTTATTGATGAACAAATGCTCAACATTACAACAAGAAGTAAAATACAAAAACTGTTTGGGGTATCTTTATATAAACAAAGGTTACAAATGCAAAATTTAGTTGCTGAGTTTCGATCATTAATATTTGAATTCCACTATAGTCAATTAGTGGAAATTATATCAGGTTTATCACAAATTTCAAATAAATGTGAAGTTCTAATAAAAGGTTTATCTGAATTAGAAATATGTTTTGATAATTATTTATTTCATTATTATCCAAATATCACTCAACAAAATGATACTATTTGGAATTCATGTTTATTAATCTATAATGGAGCAAAACTAGCAAATGGAGAAATTATACATGCTACAAATTCATATTATAATTCATCATATTTTAGCAATGTTGCAGTAAACTTGGAAGGGTGTGAAGTTGACAATTATGTTACAGATAATGGGGATTGTTATGCACAGATATTGTTATTATTACAAATCAAGTTTGAATTATATGATCAAAATGAAGTAGTTAATTTAGCATTGATCCAATGGTATGATTTTAAATTCATCAATAATAGCAAAAAAATTATTTGTATGATTGTCCCCTAATAGAAAAAATAGAAATGTATCATTTAATACCTCTTGAATCCATTAAAGAAGAATGTCATATTATTCCTAGATTCAACAAAAAAAATGAATTCTTAGTAAACAAATTCTTATTTTAAACTTGTATAAGAAAAACTTATTGTAATTTTATAGCTTAATATAATTGATGAAAAATATTTGCATAATTCTATGGAGATAATAGATCTATTATGGTGTCTATTGTATGTATTTGTATATTGAATGAAAATATTTTGTGTATATTTTATGCATTAAAAAAAACTACATAAATTTTTGCCATATTATTATAGAAATGTAATTATTTCATAAGTATAAAAACATACAGAAATAAAGTTTATGTAAGTTTACAGAGATTATAGCAATTTATACATTCATAAATTTATGGATTCATCTAATTTATACAATTTTTTGATGTAACTTTTGATGTTTTCATAACTTTATGCCTAAATTTTGTGTAAAAAAGTGTAAACATGTAATTATTGCGTAAGGTGAGGGTCTGAAAAATTTGCTGATGTA